ATAATATACCTAATACAATAATAATACCTACAACGGTGTATCTAAATGCGAACTAAATTAACAAAATCCGTAATTTCTTTTCGACGATGATGTAGCTTCCGTTGTAATGATTGAACAGTGAAATAATTTAATGGAATTGAACTAAATCTAACTTAAACTCGGTCTTCCGGGTGTTATATTTTACAGTCCTACTAATCGCCAGATTCCACCATCGGTGGTATAAAAGCATACGTTGTATATACAGAAGTTTTATCTGGGTTAACAAACAAAACTAATCAAAAGTGCATAAAAAATAGTTGTTGTATGCAGACATACGTTATAAACGGAGTCGATATGAACGTTATATACTATATCTACTCAAAGTTCATTATAAAAATATAAGCATAATGTTAAGGATGTTTGAGAGCTATGTCAAAATGCTACAAGACAAATAAAAATTTGGAAGAACGTTCCTTATTCAATTCTAAAACTCCTGTAAAAATTACAAATCGATTCACTAAACCGTTAAAAAGTTATTGAAATTTTAAAAAATTGTAATTTTACACGTCATTTTATGGAGATTCGTTAACCGAACAGATTAAATTTATTTTTATTAACAGAAAAAAAGCTACCAGAAATTTCAAACTTTTATAATAAGTAACTTGAACTCTGGAGAATCACTTTAGCGTAAGGTTATTCAAATTCATTAAATGGTTATCGAGGAAAAAATGAAAAATTAGCTGAAAATCTCGTTTTTACTTGATAATATTTATAATTGTCTGAAATAAATGCAACTTTAAAGTTTTGATTATTATTTAAACATATTAAAAAGTTTTACGCTCATTATTAATAGAGAATGAAACTAAATATTTATTTGTTTCGAAGTTGAAATCAAGGCATATTCACTGCTAAAAGTCAGTTAAAAATTTTCCATATTATTCGTTATTTCTTATTTTATTCAAAGTTTTTGGTCAAATTGAAATTAAATATTTTTTTGTTTCGAAGTTGAAATCAAGGCATATTCACTGTCAAAAATCAGTTAAAAAATTTCCATATTATTCGTTATTTCTTATTTTATTCAAAGTTTTTGGTCGAATTCCAAATTTTCTCTCGAACCGTATACTTTTTTTTAGTGTAGATAGTATTTATTTACCTCATGATATGCTGCAAAACCTAATTAATCACGAATTGCTAATTTTATGTACTCTTGCCTCCGATTGTACCTCCCAAACATCCTTAATATACAAAGAAAGTTTGAGGTACAACAGTGATTTTTGTCATTTTACTTTTTCTTGAAACAACTACATTTATCCACCCTATACAATTGCATCGTATAATGCAATACATTTCTTTACACTCTTCCTGTTCATTTTTTATCCGTTTCACTGGAATGCGATTTTTCATGCACGTGAAATTAAGTAGAAGCAATTTTCCCCATTTCAATTTCGTGGATCTTTTGCCCATTTATCGCCTGATTATCTGGCGTACCTTTTAGCGGTCTCGAATATTTCTAGTCCCTAGCAGCTTTATACATAATTTAAGTTAAAACCACCTTTTACTAGGAAAGAACTTTGGCCGTCTGAATTGTAAGATTTAACACATAAATTTCGCACGATGTAGCGGTGCTTATTTCCCCGAAGAGCAATAAATATGGATTTAGAAGCAAAAGTCGTTAAGGAAATCGACGTAATGTGCACCTATGTATATGTATCAATATCCATACATCTGGAGGTATTCGATTCATTTCCATCGATACAGTTAGATAATTCAGCCCATTGTGCACTTAGATATAATAACTTCTATCTACAGTTGTATACAAACCCATAAAAAAAAGTCGTGGTGGTAAAGGTCTAGATGATGCCCCCACCCCCTCGGGGGGGATCGAAAGGGGAGGTCGCCCCCACCACTGAACCATAAAAAGTTCGTGGCTGTCTCACCCCCATAAAAAGTTATGGGGGTTCAAAGTTAATAAATATGCCCATTTTTATACATTTCTAGGCGTGTAAATATTTATATAGTCATTCTTAAACAATATTCAAAGGTAAAACTAATGAAAAATACATAAAAATATTGAGAAAGTTATATAAAACATTATTTAAATATCTTTATCAATAGGGTAGGTTAGGTTAGGTTATCGGGTTTTGTTCAAGTGTCCACCCTCTTTCGATCCCCCACCTCCACCCGCTTGAAAATATTTTTTTATTGAATTTTATTTAAATTATAGTGCATGAAAATTGTCAAAATAATCAACTTTCAACCTCCATAACTTCTTATGGGGTAAGACCGCCGCAAACTTTTTATAATTTTACTCAGGTGACCACCCTCATTCGATCCCACCTACCCCATCATCTAACCCCCACAACTTTTTAAGGGGGTGAGACCGCCACGAACTTTTTATGGTACAGTGGTAGGGGAGCCCTCCTCTTTCGATCCCATCCCCGAAGGGCCATCATCTAGACCTTTACCGAAGTACGTGTCCAACCAGTCTTAGGACTGATGACCTTATGATGATGATGATGATTGCTAAATAAATTGGTGAGTCCCAGCACCTCCACCATATCATACATAAATACCTACATAAGCCAATTTTATATATAATTTTTAATTTATTTAATTTAACATAACTGACGTATAAGTTGTATAATTTAGAATAATTCAATCAACAACTAATTCAGCAACTTAATATTTATAAACAGACAGATATAGTTTAATTAAAGCAAAAGTGAAACAATAATGTATTGACAGTTAACAAGTAATTAAATAATACAATAATAATATTTTCCTACCTTGTTATTTTATCCTATGTTCTTGGGATTACGTAGAAATTGACTGAAAAACCTTCAGTATGAGTAAAGACGACCGCCCGTCTCACCGCCCTGCCTTACTCGCTTCACGTGGTTGATTGTTCGGACTTTTTTTATCTAAGAATCTAAGCCAATCTTACAATTGATACATAATTAATCACTAACTATTAGGTATTAATAATGGAAGAAAACACTTTAACAAAAACGTATTGACGCTAAATTTTCTAATGAAATTTAATTAAAAGCATCTTGTGCAGGATGAAAAAAGACGTTATTTATGTATTCGTCAAGCGGCGTGCTGTAGCGGTCCCTTCCGCTCTATGCTACGGCTTTGCACCACAACATAGGTTGACGGGGTTGTTCGCCTGATAGTAATAATATGTGGGGTACATCACGCCAGTACCTGATGGGCCAGTGTGTACAATGACGATGCTGTTAGTGCCTTACCTGTGTAGTCACCCTGTGTGTAGTCGTAGTAAGAGGTGACTATCAAAGTTGTGGTTCTGAGAAGAACCGATTTATAATATCGTTGGATACATTATCTGTATTATTGATGATTGGCACAAAATCACAGCTTCCAAGGGTTGACGCTTTATCAGCGTTCGAATAATAGCGAGCCTGGTGTTAGACTAATTTATTCGAATATTTACAGGATATTTATACAAATTTATTTACATGGTTTAAATGGCAAAGAACATTTCAGCATTTTACATTTGTGTATGTATTTGCCGTTGATCTAGTTAGTCGCAGTGTGTCGCGACCTAACTAAGTCTGCACAAATGTAGACGCTTAATTGGTACACAACAATAAATGTTTTCTTGCTATACCGAGTGTTCCCACACCTGATTTATCTTGACGTAGAATACCTTAAAACCCGACAAAAGTGACTAAGCCTTCTGCAACTAATGTCGAACGAATTAAAATCTAAAGTGATTTCCAATTTTACTTAAGCTCTCTCATAATGGTATTCATTCGTTGTATTTTTGGCGTCACAGAACTGAACAGAGTATCAAACATATCCGTAGTCATTCGTAGAGCATTTTTATATTCGTCTGGATCTTCATTGCGATATTGCGAAGTTCTCCTAAAAGAAACGCGTATGCCACGTTAATTTCTTTTTCTTTTCCAAATACATTTTTCTAGCAAAACTTCTGTTAATTTTAATACTTCGTTTAGTACAAATTTCCAAACCAATAACTGTTTCAATCAATTTGAATTCTTTGTACCTTATTGTTAGTCCTACCATCATATAAACCGCTCCAGCTGATCTGAATGTTCCCTAAGCTTTTATTGAAAGTATATTAGTAATTTCTTCTGACACTATTATCTATATATTTCAAAAAATTAATACTGCAAATAATTGAAATTCCTCTTTCAGAAAATTTCTGAACAACGTTTCTGATTAAATCAGCTCAAGCTGTTCCTTTCAAATTTCGCAGTCCCTTTTCAACTTCTTTCAGGAATCGATTTTTGCTTCTTTGAATTTCTTATTTAAAATTCCTCCTATTTACTTACACAGTTGAAGGAATAGATCCGATTTGGTTGAGCTACATGGCACTTCGCAATTTCTGTCTCGGTCCTGCACCAGTAGAGTCGTATTGAAAGTGAAATCGAAGCTGATGCTAAATCTTCTTCGGGATTCAAGAGGAGCTCTTGGAGTGCTAAAACTGTTGCCAGTTCGAGTCGAGTTTCGCAGAACGTTAAAGAAAAAAAGCCATTAATACTGATTTACTAAATCCCCTCGTGTAGAATTGTCTTTTATACCCTCCTATTTTTAGAAAAAAAAAAAGTGGAGATACTGTCGTGTTAAAATCAATGAAAAGGACTGCATGTAAACTTGTTGCCTTGCTCTTTACGTATTTCATAATGAATAGTAAAATATATACAGTTGAGGTTACGCGAAAAACTGTAAAAGTGTTTGAGAATTCTTGAAAATAGAATTAATTGCAAAAATTTTGTATTCTAGTACTAACTAAATGAAATTATCTTGCGTCATTTTTAAAAATTAGAATCAATAAACAATTAGCCACAATGTTTGGCTTGTAAACTAATTTTTTAACAATAAAATTACAAATACTAATACTGTTGAAGCTAACTGACGATATTCTCTTGCTGAATACCGAATTATAATAAGATACATATAAGCTTAATGTGACTGTATTATTTGCAGCGAACAACTTTATTTCTTCTTATAAGCATATTTTTCATCTGTTACAGGCGAAATTCAATCAACTGGACACCTAAATACCACAACTATATTTTAAGGTAAGATTACACAAAACTAAACCTATTAAAGACAATAAATCAGTATAGGTATGTAGACAGATTAGTAAACACCATTTAGAAATATTTTATAGAAGAACTTATTGTTATAAAAGGCGGTTTAATAATGATATGTAGCTTAACAATTAGTCAGATTGGATATGTGCGTTTGTCATTGAACAATTTGGCATTAGATCATGTACAATCAGTAGTAGATAAGACTCCAGTGGCGTTACAATAGGCTATCAGAACGGGCAAAATGCTACGTACTCCCGACCTGAGAGACCCAGTCCGAGATACCTAACATTTATTATAAAATTTGGTGGAAGATATTAATTTTGTATTGAATCAATTTAAGTTAAGTATTAACTCAAAAACATACACTAATTACAAATAATAAGTTACCAAGATTGGAACCCAGACCTTAGACTGGTTGGATAAAAAAAACTTTTGGGTGTTTCATTCCCACCAGCCAGTAATGCTGGTGGGCGGGCAGTCCCTTCGTACTATGCCGGAAGGTAGGCCGGAAGGCCCTCTTCAGCCTACTTTCAGGAATCGTGGGAATGGGTGGGTGGTGGTTCGGGTGAGAAAGATGAGGCGGACGAAATGAAAACAAAAGAGAGTGAAAGATTATATGTGGAATATTACTGCCTCAGCATTTGCCTAAGTAATCCAAGAAAACCACAGAGAAACTTGGACCAAGGCAGACGGACCTGGAATCGAACCGGCGTCCTCCCGAATGCTAAGCAATGGTCTAGACCTCTAGGCCATGCCGCTCGGTCATGGTTGGATACGCACCTCCACTCTTTCCTATCCTGAGCTAAACTTCGCATTTCCGTAAAACTGGAACATCCCACATCCTTAACTATTTGCGAACAGTTATCTAATGTAAGTCTACCTCTACCCCTCCTAACTCCTGTTTCTGCTACTAATATGTCTCTGACCAGCCCTTCATGCCTGAGAAGGTGTCCTACCAACTTATCTCGCTTATTTCTTATTGAATTCCATGATGACTCCCGTTCTTCTATTCATTCTTGTACCTCCTCATTTCTAATATTGTGACTTTTTTATATTGAAGGAGACTCAACCCTGTGCTAGCCTCTGCTTTATATCCCTACTAGTCCTTCCGTCCTGACTTACTCAACTTCCTACAGGGAGAAAACTAAATTTTTATGACAACGCAAAAATTACAATTTTCGATTGTAAATGACTGAATTTGACGTACAAATTGTAGAATTTATTAGGTAACTTGTAATAATCTCAATTTTGACATGTTTCTTTAAAAAATATTTCAAGTTCCTTAATTATTACAATTAAATTTCTAATATCAACTAAAATACCTGGTAAATTTATTTCGCCTAGGATTTTATTTTTTTAAATTAGTGTCCAAATTATAATTTTTATTATTTTCGCATAAATTGTAAATATCGCTTTACTATTTAGGTAAATTTCCCTTTTTCCTTTTTTCCGTGTAAATACCTAAAATCAGCCACCTGTCTAATTCTTCGCTTCCTATCTTTATATTCTCACTTTCCCTACTTTTTATTCCCTTGAAACTACAATGTGAAGGTTTTTTATATTAAGGGAGGACCCCATCCAATGAATTTGCCACGCAGGCCTCAGATGGTACGGTTACGCCACTGAGTTTAGAAAAACACATTCAAAATATTAGAACACACTGTTCCAATTATATGTGTTTAAAACTACAGTAGTTCAACATAAAAGAATGTTCAAAAATAAGTTAATAGGTATCTCTATATAAGCAGTAAAACTTTAAAAGTCTGAAGATGGTTAAATAAACCGAAACGTTACAAAAAACATAAAATTATTTAATTATTTGACCGCCACCATGGAAAAAACAATATAATTTAAAAGTAACAGTCAGGAATCTAACTTAAATTTAAACCTAAATATCTGCAGAATTGGTACTTTGGAGAGTTTACAAGATTACAATTTAGATAAGGCCGTTTAATTCAGATTTTCGGTTTCCTGTCGTAGTCGATAAAGAAGAGAAATTGCGGATTAGTCGACTCCACATCTGAAAAATATTGCCAATAGTCTCATCAAACAAAAATCCCATTTCTGTATTTGATTTTTAAGCTAGTCGTTATTTGCTCGAATTTAACGCCGCACGACTACCAGCTTTAATTGCATTGCTGATTATAATTTAAAATCACATTTAATCTTGTTCGACGAAAGCAATCAAAAGATGCGGAAACAATTCACCTTTTTCAATCTCTGTTCAGAACAGTAATCCGGATTTAAATTACAATTAAAAAAAGAAGTAAATTGTTAGTCATCAAAAACTAATGCCTATTTGGTTTTATTTAGCTATAATGCGACTGTTAATTCAACATTCTTTATTTCACTACAATCATTGGAAGATTTCTTTTTAATAGAAATTATAAGTAAGTGATGGCGAACATCCGCTATCTTTTAAGAGCATTTTAAAGTCTTCATAGAAGTTCTTAAATTGATAATTTTATCGATAACTTGAAATAAAATTTTTATTTATATTCAGCTTGTTCAAAATTTCTTTCAATTATGGAAAATGTATATTATCTATTAAATATCCTAGCAAACAAAACCACTTAACTATTTTTTAGTTCTCAATTATGAATTGCTGAATTTTTAATTTTACAGAATTGTAAGGAAAAGAGCGATTTTCAATCGCAATGAACTTCCTTTAGTAGAATAAAACAGTTTCTGAAAAGTTCAGTTAAAATAACTTCGTAATTTACTTTCCACAAATTGTTCTGAAACACAAGAGCTTCAGGCACAACCAGTATAAATGATACACTTATTAAAGTACAGCCAAAATTTTATTATTTCTTTTAATTACACCTATTGAATACTTGCATTGAAACAAATATGTACCTACGTTATTTATTAAGGTGGTATAATTTATGAATTTTAATATCAAGGACAATAGAGTAAGTACTAATTAGTGATGAGCTTCAGCTTTCAGGAACTCATTGTATTTTGTTTCTGTCATCAGTTCTTCTGTTTCTTCTTCATTTTCTATCTCTACTTTAAATAGCCAACCTGAAACAAAAAATCAGGTTTATATTTATACCTATTCATTGCGCTAATAGGTTTTTAAGTCAATAAGAAATAGTCGAGATAGGTTGGTAGGACACCTTCTGAAGGACTTGTCAGAGACATGTTAGAGGCAGAAACAGGAGTCAAGAGGGGTAGAGGTAGACCTACAGTAAATTACATACTCTTTGCAAATAGTTGAGGATCTAGCTTTAGGGAAGTGCGAAGATTAGCTCAGGATAGAAAAGAGTGAAGGTGCCTGTACAACCGGTCTTAGGATTGAAGACTTTATGATGATGATGAATTTTGATTGAATCTGTCGAAATTTTTGATTTTCATGAAAATTACTCTTTATCATACTGGGAAGTTATTCGTGTGGACCTTAAGGGTCGCACCAGTGATACGACACACATAGTTCAAACCCACTCCACGGACTACTTATGGCCTACGCAATTATTACAATAAACATATTTAACTATTTTAATGAAAATTACCTTTATCGTAGCACGACTTATTTATCAATGACGGAGTTTTTTCAACTTCGGTATTTTTTTCTACAACACGTCCTGATACAGGACTGTAAACTTCACTGGCGGCTTTTACGCTTTCTAGGGCTCCACATTCATCTATAAGCACAAAAAAATTAAAATCGAATAAATGTGTGAAAGAAAATTATTGTGGGTGCATATTGAAATTTGCAGGTATCACTAAATAGTATAAAACAAAGTCGCTTTCTCACTGTCTGTCCCTATGTATGCTTAAATCTTTAAAACTACGCAACGGATTTTGAAGCGGTTTTTTTTTTAAAGATAGAGTGATTCAAGAGGAAGGTTTATATGTATAATACATGCATAATATAATAAGGAAACACTGATAATTTTAGAGATTTCTAATGTGAAATAAACACATTTTTTGCGCTTACATTGCAAACGCTGGCTGAACCCTACGAGATAGATCAAATTAATGTACTACAATATTGTACATCTTAAAAGGGTCTACAAAAAAGTCCGGGATGGTATATGTCTATCTCTTAGGGATAACCCACAATAACCATTTTCATTCTTTACTTTTTATGAGAAATAATGACTTATTTACGAAGCGATTGTAAGCAATACAGCATTAATTCTTATCCAATTAAGTACCTTAAATACATTGTGCATTTAATATAGATCAATATGGCCCTTTGCAGCATGTAATTTAAATGAATATTTTCGAAGATATTCCAGATTTAAAATGCAGGGACATAAAGGGTGCGGCGGTACCGGCCGGTTTGTATTGTCTAATGACAAAAAAACTGAGAATGTTTTATTTAAAGACATTCTGCAGTATATTTAGTATGTTCAGGGGGTACCTTTTGATGATTTCCCCTTCTCGATAATAATCTAAACAAAACAAAAATATACACATTTAGTATCAGCATTGCACCCGTGCGAAGCTGGGACGGGTCGCTAGTATAATATAAATATAATTTATGGCAAGAGTATATATGTATATGAATATCCACTTTCAAATACCATTTTCCACTTGCTTCCCTCAGTTCAACAAACCTATATGTGGAAAACAGAGCCTAATGAGGGTAGTAAGTGTTCTATTTTGTTACAAAACCAACACCCATGTTTTGCGTCCCGTTGTAAGTCATCTTCAATGTACATTTTCTAAAATCATCCACTCACTTAACCATTTGAAAACAATTCATCTAACTTAAAAAAAAAACAATTTGAAATTAAAAGCCTCACAACGAGAAGCCACACGTTGGTTTTGGTATAGCAATAGAATAAAAATCTAATCAGGCTCTCATTTCTGCAGGAATATTTTCATATTCTATTTTCAAATAAAATACAAAATATTATTCAAAATAACTATTTATTCTTTAGATAGAATATTCATCATTATTTTTATGTGATAGAATTTTTGGCCTTGGTAAATAGTTAAACAAATACGTCGGGTTTGTTAAATTGATACAACTATTCGATTTAATAGAAATGTTGTGATTTGTAATCTATTGAAGCATGTGTTTATCTTTAGTATAGCTTAAATTCAAATGGTCAACAACAATTCAATACAAATAGCAATTTCGACATAAGTTTCGAAAATTTGAATCTACATTTTTATTTTTTATTTTTCATAAAATGGAGATCAATTTATTGAACTATCAGAAACGTTACCTTTACCGAAATCTTTGTAACCTTTATATTATCGCACTTAAAAGTTATTTTTATCATAATCTTTTGAATGTTACGTACTGTCTCCTACATTTCGTACATTATCTACTTAATTTTTATCAATGTATTATTTTTAAACAATTTCATCCTGTTAGCTTGATTTCTTAAGCGGATTCACAATTTATAAACATTGCCATACCTTAAAAGCGAATCATAAATGACTTATCTTAATGTTATTTTAAGTCAAATTTAAGTTCAACATTCACAAAAATCAGCACGTGTAAAGAAAGAGCTAAGCACGTTCCTGAAAAATACTCACCTCCTTGTTTTATAACTGAGTCCACCTCTGGCAGCTGAACGTAGACTACATCCCCTAGAGCATCCTGTAATCAGTCAAAATTCTAGGCTAAGACTTTTTGTATGGATCTTTTACGCTGCTTTATCAACATCGATTCTTAATATTTACCTGAGCGTACTTTGAGATGCCGACAGTTCCAATCTTACCATCCACAGCCACCCATTCGTGCTTCTTAGTGAAAAATCGTTCTGTAAAATCGAAAATGTTTTTACTGAATTCGCTCACCGATTTTCTTTTGTCGTACCTGCAAATGTTGTCTTTGAAGTACTAATTAATCTCACTTTAAAAAATGGTCTGTACTCGTATCCATTTTTGCAATCGTTTAATAAAAACCGTTTTAGAGCACTTCGACCACCACGAGATATTCCGCGAGAAAAAACCATTGTCGCGTTAGTCCTTCATACACATTCGACGAATGATTGGAAATAAAACTAAACATTTTAGTGATAACGGGTTACGTAGAGGTCATGCGGGGGGTCACAATGTATATTTAGGATTGATTAGTCCACATACAGATATGTGTGTATTAATTAGAATTTTATTTCATAAATCTTTGTCGTGGATGGTACTCAACGCGCTGCACACGAATACTTTTACGTATGAAAGGTCAGATTTTTGTTTGTCTTATTAGATATTAAATGTACATATGTGTATGTTGTAACAACGTAAGTTCGCTTTTCCTCGTTGATCGCTTAATTGTGGAAAACAAACAACTTTATTTTCGAACGCAAATAATTTGTGTACTTGCTTAGTTAGTAGTCTGTAAAAGTTCAACATTTATGTAATCGAATGTCAGCAAAATATGTCTTAGAATTAAAGGTTATTATTTGGATCATGTATGAATAATAATCAGCCTTTGCCCATGAGATCGTCCGTATGGAATTCCTTTCTTTTTGTTAAGTAGATATAGAAGAAAAAGTTTGATCAGTAACTACCGTACCAAGTTAAAACACAAATTTAAACAATAAGGGTATGCGGTAGACTTGACGAGATATAGTTGGGACTTTCAAAATTGGCAATAAAACTGTCACATTTACTTTTTTCGATCAACTTACTACCTGGAATAGAGCGGTTGCTGACAGAACGCCTACTTTTACTCACGACAGACGTTATAATGAATATCGTAAACATAGAAAAGAGATGTCAGGTAGGAATTGCAGCGGACACTAATAAAGAAAAAGGAATAACATTAATGTATAACAGAAAGAGATGCAGTCGAGCAAAATACAAGCAGTTACCAGCATCAGACTTTAAAGAAAGTTAACATTCTCAGGCAGTTATAAAAGCCGACCCTGTTTTTTTTGCGTACCTAATCAATCTCTAACAGCTGCCCCGTTTACTATTATTTTTTCTAACTTAACAAGGGCGTGTTCAAAATGCAGCAAATGACTACAAATAAGATACGTTCACTTTCACAGACAATTTATTGCAGAGTTTGCCAATTTTGATTGTCCCAACTATACCAACAATGTGTAATATTTGTAATACTAATTTACCTTCAATTTGCAAGTTTTGATTAATTTTTCGTCGGTTTTATCAAGGGAACTACATAAAATTCACTTAAGAAAATTTCTTCCAATGTTAATTACATTGTAATTATACTACTTACGGAAGTGTAATTTTAACAAATTTAAATAAATATGCAATACGGGGAACTAAGTTTGAGGAAGTTTTTTACTTATTCTTAAGTAAAATAAAAGGGTACAATTGATCCAATTTGGATCACATATAATAAACAAAAGAACGAGTGTTGTATTTTAAATACTTTATTTAAATAAAAATCATAATCATAATCATAATTATAATTAATAACGGCGCGTATTTCACGCACCATTTATATACGCATTAATAAAACAACTCGAATACTTTATTAATAAATATTATAATAAGTAGTACATTATACAGTTCCTCGTGGTTACTTTAGAATATTAAGACGTGAGCAATAATTTGTATCCCTTTCGCGGAGGGGTGGGGGGGGGGCTTGGAGGGTGAGACCGTCATCTATTCCGGTCGGTTGTTCTCCCTCTCACGTTTCAGAAATTACTTGACATTCTTCACTATTATATTTCAATTATTATGAGCATTAATATAAATAGTAATTACTTTTAACTGTTGTAAACACGAACTGCTACTGTGTATTTGACATTATTGATTATTACAGTGGGCGCATGTCGATAATAATAATAATAATAACAATAATAATTAATATATTGTGTTGGTTCAGTGAGTGTTTGTGTGTATTATGCCTTCGTAGAAAATGAGTGTATTGTATAGAAGTCGATTTATTTTATAATATTGCTTAGAAAATGTTGCACTTCGGTATTTATTTCCAGACCAATTCCTATAGATTCAAGAAATTCTTTAACCGTCAAACTGCCGTCTTCAAATATTTAAACGAGACATACTGTTGACGAAATGAATTAAGTGCACAATTTATTGTAGATAATTTTCGCAGATAACTACGACAGCAACAATATTTTGTTCAGATATTATTTGATTTTATTATCATTTCAGTTTAAGCTAATGCTTTGTGAAAAGAACGTCGACTATTTTTATTTCGTTTTCGTTGTAGCAAAAATGAAATAACCGAACAATCCTAAAAAACACCGATGTTATTTCTATATCTCTGGAACTGGTCTGTCTCTTAGTTCAAGTGCATTGGCCTAAAATTTGAATAAAAATATGATTTAAATTTAGGATTTATTAAAAAAGAAAAATCACTTAATAGAGAACAAATTAATTAAAATAACCAAACTAATCTAACCTAACATAACCAGAAAGTAATTACTAGGAATGCACCGGATACTGATTTCGCCCGGTGCCAGATAACGGTTGCTGTGCTGGGTATCCTGCCGGTACCCGGAAAGACCACTACAGTTAATGGTTCTAATCTTCGTTGTGGTAATCTTTCCCACTAAATACTACCCTCACTAACGTCCCAAACAACATTAACATCCGTTCAAAAAGTCGTTTAAACACTAAACCAATGACATTTTAATTCTTATTTGACGGATTTTTAACGGGATGGTTGATTTGAAACCGTTGAAATGAGCCTATGTTTATGAACATTAAAGGTCTGCAAAATGGTAAAATCTTATCGTTAGTCAAAACCTGATAGGTATACCAACAACAGGAAAAGGTAAACACAAAAACTATATCGAAATAACAAGAAACTGAGTTTAGTAATCCATAAACATTAAATTATTATTGCTGGTGTTTACTTTTTCTTTTTCCTTTGGTAGAATTACACGGTACTGGCAGGTACCTGACATCATTATCCGGTACCCTGCCGGATCCTAAAAAAAAATACTGTCGGGTACCAAATCCAAAGTGCGTACCGGCTTAGCTCTAGTAATTACCAAACTGACTGTTTAGTATTAAGAAAAGTTTAAGTTAGATTCCTGACGTTTATTATTAAATTATGTAGTTTTTTCCAGGTTGGCGGTAAAATAATTAAACAACTGTATGTTTTGTAACGTTTCGGTTTATTCAACTATCTTCAAACTGAAAAAAATTTGTTCTTTAATAGTTAAATAACATACCTTTTGAAGTGTTACTGCTTGTACACAGATATTTTATTACAATAATAATTGTAATTCAAATTGTACAACTCAGTAACACTCTAAGAGTTATGTTCTTTTACTATTAATTATATCCATATTTTACAAACAAATGTGTAACACCTAACTAGTAGAACTATACGTAAAAAACAAATTTTTTTCAGTCTGAAGATGGTTGAATATGCCACCCTGGCAAAAACTACATATTTTTATAGGTACTGACCGTTTTGATTTCTGGTTAATGTTTTCTATGCACCGAAAATAAATTTAAAAATTGACCGTTTGTAGGCAATTCTTTTCTAATTTACTAATTATGTCCAAGGATGTTTTTTCTTCGTATAATATTTAATCAACCCTGGTATAGGTACAACACGTTGATCTTCTCACTTTATAGGCGAACTGTATCTCGCAGTGGTATATTCATTCACAAGAAATACTGATTTACAAACAAATCAATGGTTTTTATCTTATAATTTACATTTACTTGATGAAAACTTATTGCGTTGATTAGCATCAATTCGGTAAATTTCCATAAACTCCATTTAAACTGCTAATGAAATCGAGATGCGTGCGAAATATATGATAAGTTGAAATACATATAAGTTTATGGAAATTTACCAAATTCAAGTTTCATTATATAATAATTTCGCCTATATTTCGTCGAGCGTTGTTAATTGATAAGTTCTGAAATTTAATTGGAAAGTCAGTTTTGACTTCACTAACTTTTACTGAAAAACTAAACAACTGGGCAAAATTAGTGAAACCAAAGCGAAGTGTTGAATACTGACTCGGTACGTCAATAATTTATTTATATTCGTTGGGAAAAGCAATTACCATTTAAATAGTTTTTTGTTTGAATGCACTTGAACTTGTGATAATATGTGGTTGCAATAATTTGAGATGATGATTGATGTAGTAGTAGACGATGTAATTTTCCGTATTTTAACATTTCCAGCAGTTATTACACTACGGTATTATGTACAGTTGTCAATCGTTTGCAGAATCATTATTATCCGGTAAATTTTCATTTATTATGAATATATATATATATA